CAGCACGAAAGAAAGAATTAGCGGACAAACATTTCTCAAACATCTCTCCACCTTCCCCGAGACTAAATTCTTCATTAGCATCACTGTCGAATTATGAAGTTCCGCCGAGTTTGAAAATGCCTACAGTATCTGCTTCAGTTTCGAGGGGAAGGATGGGGTGGGGGGGGGGGCACTGCTCGTAATCTTACCTTCAGTGCTGGCGAGTACTCCATTTGATTCACTAGGACTAGAGAATAGAATAATACTCAACTGGCTCATTTAAAGAGAAACCCGGGATTAAACTGACGCTAGAGCGCTTCGTAGTGATAGCTTAGCTGCGGAACGACCTGAAAGTGGAAAGGAAAGCAAGAGAAATCTTGGAAACTGAAATTAAGGCCTTAACCTTCAATAAGGTCGGATGTGGTACGATGGCGAGACAGGGCGATCAAAGAAGACAAAATACGCGAGAGAGCACGTCGTTTGAGAGCACGCTGATCTCACCATCTCTCGCGGTGGGTGGGAAGCGTTGCAACGGGGGTCGATGGTTGCAGGCCCGTAAGGATTAGCGCCCTAACCGCGCAATTTTTGCGACGAAGCTGGAGTGATCTAGGTAGGTAGGAACCTTACAATTTCCTTCCTACTAGTCGGGCTAATCCCGGGGTTTGCCTTCAAAGTGCACCGGTGGGCGTCCTACATTCCTTACACCCAGTCCACGTAATACCCACTTGTTGCGGTCATCCACTTTAGAGCTCCCACGCCTTGGAGCCTAGGTGTGGATTTCCATTTTCTTGGTTCAGGACCGTTTCCTCGAGCTACTGGTAGTCCGAATGTGAAAGCACGTAACGGTTCTTCCACACCGGTTCATATCAGAGGACCTTCCAAATGAGTCGTTACGTATCACTAGCACTTTGACTTACATTTTCAACATTGAACAGCATATTTTAGTAGCTTTAGTCTTTCAGAACTCAAATTTCACCCCTTAGTTTACCGAGTAAAGAAGAGGAAGACTGAAGACAGACAGCAGCTTTGAATGTGCAAGACCCCTGCCGACCAGCATTCAGACTACGTACATAGCAATAATCCAGGATATTTGTCGAGAACCTGTCGAGCACGGACCGTGCACAATATTTCCGGGTCAGATACCTGCGATGTCGTCTGGGAAGAAACCTATGATGAAGTTGCTCAATGAAGTTGAACGTGTTCTTAAATCTTCAGTTGGAAGAAGCCGGTCCACGTTAGTGTGTGACTAATTCAAATTTGAACGAGGACGAAGAAGCTCTCCGTTTTCTGACGATTTCCCCTCCTCCTTCCTGTATAAAATAAAAATATTTATGGTTCTATTAGCGATAAGTAGGATGGACTTCATGAACGTGGGTAGAAGCATCACAATGCATTTTGATAACCATACAAGGTAAGGGAAAGCACCACTTATAACAATGGTAAGAGAGATGCCGCATTGATGGCAAGAAAGCACCATGTCTATCCTGGAAGGATTCAGGTTCCGAACTTCGATGGAACTTTGAATGGAGACACGAGGGTTGATCGTCTGAAAAGGTGACTGCAAATATGGACGCGAAAATTGCAAAATTTAACTCTCTAGCAGGATAGCAGGTTGTGAGCGGTCAAGATACCTACAAATGAGCGTTGGACCAAGTCTGACTGCTTACAATTTGCTCAAGACGTTCTGCACTTGTAGCCTCCTTGCTCTGCAATCAGTATTTCAGGCCCTTGATCAATACACCTGGGTATCCAGTCAATGTTCTACGAGATATTGAAACCCGTTCTTGCTGTATGGAGGAGGGGAGAGAACGAGATGGAAGAGAAAGCCTCAAAAGAAAAAGCAGAGTAAGAAAACAAGGAGAAAGAAAGCACTCAAATGAATGTTCACGGAAAATTCTTGCATTTTTTCTCAACTAATGTCTTCAGCTGTGATCACTAGAGAGACAACGTACAAAGTTTCACGCAAGAAGAGTCAGTTTCCTAAGAGAAACAATACGATAACCAGATTCTGGGGACGGTCGCGGGTAGGTTGGGCGGGAACAAGGGAACGCATGGAGACAAGTGCCCCCTGGGCTGCGTGTCAGGCGGGTGTATCAGGTGATGCACTGAAAGAATCTAGGTTCGATTTTGGAAAATAGAGATGCAGCGATCAAAAAAATATGATCAATAGAAGAGAGAAATGATTTTGTAGGTGTTGTTGCTGTAGGTGAAATAGGCCAAAAAGAGTTCCCGTAAAGGCACCCCGAAAATCAAGTGGCCACCATCGCTGGCTTATGCACGGGGGTTATTTGAACGCAAAACACTCCTTCCAGTTTACCAAATTAGACCCTTTTGTGTTCTTTCCATTCTTTCATGAATGACAAGTCCCAGACCAGTTCCTCTGAACGACTGCTTCAGGGATTGCGTAATGCAGAGTAATGGAGCGTTCATAGTTGGCGATTAGGCGATTAGGCG